GCTGGGCCCTGGGTTTTGTTTCTTTCTGCTGGAGAGCCCACCTTTCCCTGCACAGGCTTGTCCAAGGCTCCCCAAAGCCCTAAGAAATAAGTCCCATTTTTCGTCCCATTTTTTAGATGAAGAAACTAAGGTCAGCATGGTGATTATAGCCAATAATACTGTATCCTATACTTGAATGTTGCTAAGAGAGTAGATCTTAAATACTCTCACCGCAGAAAAGCAATGGTAACTACGACATGGGATGCAGGGGGCAGCTCATGCTGTGGGGGAAATCATTTTGCAACATATAAATGTATCAGATCAACACACTGTACACCTTAAACTTATACAAGTTATGTGTCAATTATATCTCAATAAAGCTGGAAAAAATGTAAATCAACGAACAACCTCCCCCCCCAACAAAAGAAACTAAGGCACAAAGAGCTTATGCAACATCCCTACGTGGTGGAGGCTGGCTTCACTCAGGACCATGACTGTGAGTCTGCAGGGAGAGGGTCTCTCTGCCCTGCCCACTGCCGACCTGCACCCTGTGGTCGGGGATTCATCCCTGGTGCTGAAATCAGACCTGAGTTTGTTCCTGGCTCTGCAGGGTGACCCAGCACATGGGGTAACCTTGCTGAGCCCATCAGTAAAAGGAGGAGTAACGCTGACCTGGTAGGGGCTTCTGTGAAGATTAAACAAGTATCTTTGGGGCGTTTAACCAGGGTCCTGGGCTCATGAATGGGAGGTCATGGGTTCATGGGTGGGCTCCCGGTGTTTGGTGAAACCTTGAAAATTATTCTACAACTGTCGCAAGTAGCACTTTGGTTGGGGGGGGATAGGATGTAGTTTTCAACAGTTTATCAAAGGGATTCATGGCCCAGAGAAAGGTTAAGAACATCCAAGGGGGTGTGTATAAGGTGATGATCGGTACCTGGTACATGGCCAGCAATCGATAAGTCCTATTATTATTATTGTGTTTGTAGTGGTTGTTATTATTTTATCACCATCAGTGTTCCAATGGGGCTCTCTGTGCCCTTGAACTTGGGAAGCCAGGGGCGTGTGGGGCTACAGAAGCATTTCTAAGCCCCACTCTCTCCACTCCTGGCCTGTAACGAGGCATCTGGGAGGGTAAAATGCAATGATAGTCTGTCCTTGGGGCCACAGAGGAAATGTGGAGAGATGTTCACCTGGCAGCACTGGCTGACCCAGGCCAGAGCCTCACCAGGCCTCAGTTTCCCCATCCCCAAAATGCAAGATCTGGCAAGAGCTCTCAGAGGCATCTTAAGAGCTGAGAGCTTTGTCTCCCGGCACCTGGAAAAGCCTCCATGCTATGGCTGTGGTGTTTCCCAGAATTGAGGGGGGTCCCCTCCAAATTACAGAGCTTGGAGCTCATTCTTGCTCCCTCCTTCTCAGGCCCCCACCTTTACCTCCCCCCTTGGTGCAGATTAGGGGTTGGGGAGAGCTCCATCTGCCACATTCCTGAGGCTCAGAGGCCACTGGGCCCCCTCTCCGTGGACATGGTAACTGCTGTCCTTCCGCTGTCAGAGCCTGAGGGGTAGGTAAGTGGAGGCCAGGTGGGGCCCCGACTTCACACTTCCTCCCCAGGAAGGTGGAAGCACCTTCACCCCAAAACACACAGGAGCCCCCAAGGGGAGCGGGTGAGAGACAGTGAGGTGCAGGAGGGAGGAAGACTGAACTAGGGGTTAGCCACAGAGGGACCCTGCAGCTCCCTCCCCCCCAACCGGGGAGGGCCTGAGAGGGAAGGGGGCCACTGGAAAAAGGGGCCCCTAACTTCCTGCTCTATAGAGCCCCCTCACTTTGGAGCGCCCCGTTAGTGGTGGGGAGCAAGAGAATGGGAGGCGTTACTATCACTTTCTTGGAGCCGGGGGTAAGCGCCGCACCCCTCGGTTCAGCTTGGGAGCGGGGCTGCCTCCCCCGATCGCCTCTCTTCTAAAGGCCAGATGTGCTCCCAGCAGCTGGCAGTGGCGACCCCTTCGCGGGAACTTGCCTCCCGTCGCCGCCGGGACCTCCTAGCCTGCAGCTGCCGTTTGGCAAAAGAAAAAAAGTGATGGAGGGAGAAAATGTGAGAAAGTGTGTGTGCGTGGACGTGCGTGCGCTCGTGTGGACCGGCCGTGCGTGCGACTGTGTGTGTATGGGCGGCTGGCTGTGCGTGGGCGAACGCCCAGGGAAGGAGTGTGTGCCCTTAACCGAAAGTGTGTCCTCAGCGGTGGGCAGGCCTGTGCGCTCGTGCGCGGGTCGGGGGCGCCTGGCCTGTGTGAGGGTGTCAGCCGGGAAGACGTATTCGAGGCCGCGCACACACATGGCGTCTGGTCTGTGGGTGCCGGCTGGGCTGTGTAAAGTGGAGGTGGGCCTGCCAGTGCGCAGCTGACTGCGCGAAGACGCAGCCACACACAGGGCAGTCACGTCCCACGCTCGCGCCCTTTCCCAGCGCCGGCCGGGCTGTGTGCTCGCGGAGCCCAGGCCGGGAGCGCCGGGCGGAAGCACAGCGCGGACAAGCTGACTCTCATCTCCCGCGAGCGCGGCCCCGCCGGGGAAGGCGGACACCGCTGGGCAAGCTTCGCCGGCAAGCCCCCAAGCTCCTCGCATGGACGCGCCAGGCGCCCCGAAGGCGACCAGGCATCTCCCCACCGAGGCTGAAGGCATCCGAGCGAGGAGGGGAGTCAGCGGGGAACAAGGAGGCCAGAGAAACCCGAGAGGCCAGTGGGCTTTGAAGAGTGCCGCGGGCCGCACTCCGAACCCGGCACACGCACAAGGCGTCCTGGCTCCTCGCGACGACCCGCGAAAACATCCCTCGCCTCCCTCCTCCCAACCCTGGCCCAGAGGCCGGCCGGGTGCCCCGCAGTCTATGCGCGAGCAACACTCACCTGGGTCCCTGCGCGCCGCGTTGCGCCCGGCTCCAACGCGATCCTGCGCTCGGCGCCACTGTACCCCCTACCCCGTCGTAGCCCGAACCCAAGCGCTACGAGGTTGGTGGGGGAAGGCTTGCGTGCAAGCCGCTGCTGCGGGCAGCCAGGCGCGCGAGGGCCACCCAGGCCCGCGCTCCCCGCCCGCGCAGACTGCTTTCCGGAACCTGGCCTGGCGCGCAGTGTCAGAGGCCCCCGCGGCGGCGGCAGGCCGATCCCACAGGGGCATTAGGCCAACTCCCCCCGCGCACGCGGAATTCTCTATTATTATTATTAAAGAATCCCCCAGAACGTGTTTACGTTGAGCCGTATAAACTTCCTGCCAAGGCCTTTACCATCTACGAGAAATCAGAACCTGCTCTTGGAAAGTGGGGACACCGGGGCTACGGGGCCAAATAGGCGGGTTTTCAGTGCGTGTATGGTGGTGGGGGAAGTCAACTGGGTTATGTGTGGGTTCAGATCCGAGCGTGGCTAGTGTACACGTGAGTGAGAGTAGGTGCGAATTTAAGCTCCTGTGGACCTACTGTGTGTGCGTGAGTGAGCGCATTAGCGGGCGCGCACACGCCTGAGCACCGTGTATGCGTGAGTGGGGACGCACGCAAGGGTGCGAGTTTTCACCTCTGCGTAATTTACCAGGTTTGCACGTGCATTAGTGCACGCGTGTGTGTGCATGAGTACTCGAATGGATGAGTGAGTGAATGAGCGGGGCCGCTTGTTCGGGGAGCCTGTGCGGTTTCGGTCCCCGCAGGGCCAGCTATTCTCACTCGCTCCGGACCGGCCCACAGCGCCGGAGACAAAGCGGCAGCGACCCGCCCAGCGCTTTCGTTTTCCGCCCGCGCTCGGCTCCGGCGGCCGCCCGCCTGCTCGCGCGCTGCTGGGCGAGTCCGAAAAGTCCCGGGCGCGGCGCAGTCCTTCCCGGGGCGGGGAGAACGGGTAGGCGGTCCCTCGCGGGAACAGACGCTCGCCGGTCGCGAGGACCCGTAGCCAAGCCAGCTGTGCCCGCGATGGCTAGGACCTGGAGGCCGCCGCCGCCGCCGCAGTTGCGATTTGCCACCAGGCTGTACGCGTCGGGGAAGGCCGGGGACCCGGGGTGCGTTTCCCTCCGCGCCGCCAGGGCAGGGAAGGCGGGGTCCTGCGCGCAGCGGGGCTGAACCGCGGGCCGAGGGCGCATTAACACTTGCTCGCCAGGTTGGTGGAGGCGGGGCGGGTTCTGCAGGCGGTCGCTGGGCAGCGAGGGTGGGGGCCCTTTAAGCGCCCACCATCGCGGGGGCCGGAGGGGGGCGAGGAGGGGAGGGAACTCCTGGAGGGTCTTACGCCGGCCGGCGAGACGCCGCCGAGAGAAGTTGCAGTGAGGGCGGCCTCGGCTGGAGTCGTGGAGCCGAGCGCCGCGGGTGGCGGGCATCAAGCGCACGGCCGCAGGCCCTGGAGGTGGTGTCTTCCCCCGAAAACCGGTGGGGGGCTTCCTCGCGGCCTCTGCGCGCGCTGCAAAGAGGCTGCTCTCAGCCTCCGCTGGGCTCCTTCCCTTGTGGGAGGGCGAGAGGGAAAGAGGGAGGAGAGAGAGGTGGGGGAGGAGGGAGCTGGAGAGAGAGGGGGACTGCGCCAACCGCCGGCGGATCCAGCAGCTCCTCGGGGAGGACGCGCGGGCGGGGGAGGGCGCGCCGAGGCTCGCTCGGGAGAAGTGGCCGCCGATGACGGCAGAGGCGCAGCCAGCCCCGCGCGCGCAGCCCCCTCCCCCTCGCCCTCCTGCCCCCCCTCCTCCTCTTCCTCCTCCTCCTCCTCCTCCCGGCTCGTCGGCGGCGCAGAGCAGCGGCGGCAGCGGCGGCGGCGGCAGCAGCCACCCGATGTCTTCGGCGCCCGAGAAGCAGCAGCCACCGCACG